GATGGAATGACTGATGTCAGGGGGGTCTGTGAAGAACTGCTTTTTTTTTTCCCGCCATTCAATCGATGTTATTCAACTTTTGATAATAATGTGTTAATATTATAGGGCTTTGATTCCTTATAGTGTTGTTTATCACAACATGTATTCAATTTGATGTAATTTATTCGATTTGAGCTTGATTTTTGAGATGGAATGATTGATGTCAGGTGGGTCTGTGAAGAACTGCGTTTTTATTTTTTAAAAAAATTGATGATTGAGTTATTCGAGAATTCGTGATTTTCTGAAAAATTGTGAAAATCGTGACCAGGTTTTGATTATCATGACGAATTAAACTGTACTTTTTATTTTTGTTTGTTAAATTTTTAATGCAAAGAATTGCATGTTGATAAATTATTGATGCAAAAAAATACATGTTAAATTTTTAATGCAAAATTGTATTTTTTAATTTTAATGCATCAAATGTATGTATATGATTGATAAATATTTTATCATTATATTATCTTGAATGACTATCTCATTGTAAATATTATTTGTGGCGTGTATGTATATTCTTGGTATTAACCTATGAATATCATTGTAAAAAAATCATGGCATGTATGATGAATATATTATCTTGCATTTTTCAATTTTATTATTAAAGTTTTAATGCAAAAAAATGTATGTTGATACATAAATTATATATATATTCTTGATAATGGAGTTGTAGGCATGTTTGGAGCTTACAGTTTTTATTATATTATCTTGCATTTTGTAATTGAGATGTACAACTATTTGTGATCATTTTAATTGAGTTGGGATTGTGCCCACTATATTATTGTAAATATTAGTTGTGGCATTGTGAATGATTATATCATTGTAAATATTTTTTGTGCCAAATGTACGTGTAGTGGCATTATTGATGACAATATTATTGTAATGGCTGATATAAACTATTTTTATCTATATTGTTGCATAAATAAATTATTTTTGCCAGTAGGAACTAAAATATTTTTGTCAGTAGAAGTATTTTGCATTAACAAAAAGATAACTTCATGAACTACCCCTACATATTATCACTACACATGGTCATTATTTTTCATGTTGAATTGTCAGGTTAAAAAATTAACCATTTATATATTAAAACAGTTGAACCATGGCAGGATCTAGGGAAGACCCTGCATGACAACATGGGGTCAGACTTGATCCCAACAAAAAAGACAAAATTATTTGTAATTACTGTCAAAAAATGATAAGTAGTGGGGTACATAGGTTCAAGCAACACTTGGCAGGGGTTAAGGGAGATGTTTTTGCGTGCAATAGTGTCCCTAGTAATGTAAGAAAACAGACGACGACATTTCTCAAGGCTACCAGAGGTAAAAAAATTGTAAAACATAGAGGATGGATGAGGAGATAGCTGGTTTATATACGCCGTCGAGCGGGAATGATCCAGAAGAGCAATATAATAATGACTTAGAGATGGAGACAAGAATGAGTTTACAGGAAACATACCAGAGGGAAAGCGAGTTTAGAATGCATGGTGGTTATGACATGGGCATGCATGGTGGGCTTAGCTCCGACATGCATGATGGGCCCAGCTCGAGCATGCATGGTGCGCCCTGCTCGAGCATGTATGGAGGGCCCAGCTTGAATATATATGGAGGGGTGGTGGCAATATGTATCAAGAGGAATCGGACGTTGAAGAAATTGTTCCTGGCTTATCTAGGAGTGCTAGTATTGCAAGTCAGCCGTATAGACCTATTTCTCTCAAAGCCTAAGTCACAACAGATGACCCTCAAAGGCATGGTGAATGGTACGAGGCACATGTTGGGTAGATATGTTGGTAAATGGTTCTACGATAAAGGGATCCCTTTTGATGCAGCCAATAGTCCATATTTCCCACCTATAGTCAACGCAATACAGAGTGCCGGGCCCGAGGTAAAACCCCCGACTGCATATGAGCTCAGTGGGCCAATCTTGGATGAAGAGGTGGAGGAAGTTAGAAATTGGATTGAAGAATATAAACAGAGTTGGCCAAGAACAGGCATTACTCTCATGAGTGATGGTTGGTTGAATAAAGTTAGCATAAAGGAGTTTCATAACTTCTTGGCCTAATCCCCAAAAGGTACAACCTTTTTGTCTAGCAAAGACGTATCAGGGATAAAGAAGGATGCAAACTTCTTGGTACGACTATATGATCAGATAGTGGAGGAGGTGGGAGATAAGCATGTAGTCCAGTTTATTACGAACAATGCGTGTGCATCTGTTTCTGCGGGCACCAAGTTGATGGATAAGAGGAAGCATCTAGTATGGACTCCGTGTGCTGCACACAACATCGATCTTATGTTAGAAGAGATCGGTGATATCAAAATTGTGAAGGAGACTCTATATGAAGCAAGGTTGGTGTCAAGATTTATATATAACCATTCTAAAATCTTATTTTTGTTTAGAGAAAAGTTTAAGAAAAAAGAGATAATCAGGCCTGCCATAACCCGCTTTGCGACAGATTAGTTGACTGTAGACTCCATTCGAGAATCTGAAGGTGCTTTAAAGAGATTGTTTACTAGTGAAGAGTGGTTAAATGACTGCATCTCGAAGTCGAGTACTGGGCTAAAAGTGGACGGCATAGTCTCAAATAGGAGGTTCTGGTCTCGATATTTCAGTGTCGTAGAGGCCACTGCCCCTTTGGTAACGGTGTTAAGAATGGTGGATGCTGACAAGAAAGCTACCATGGGCATCTTTTACGAAGGTATCAAGAGGGCTAAATCAACTATTAGGGAGAAGTGTAGTTTTGCTAGTAAAGTGATCGAGATTACAGAAAGGTGGAACACCAAACTTGGCTGTCCAAATCATTATGCAGGTACATATATTTTTATGAAGTTTTAAATGACTTTTCTCTATCTACGTATTTTCTTGGTTACTACTTTAGCTCAAAATTTTTCTATTTGACACCTGAACATCCTCACAAGATTATGGAAGGGGTCAGATACATTATTGTCAGACTGGAGAGAAGCCATCGAAACCAGGTAGTAGCAATATAAGAGGTAATATTTAATATTTGGGTAAGTACTTCATTGAGTTTTATAATTTGAGAGGAATAATGCACTAAAACGAAAATATTTTGTTTTAGCTTGTTATGTATAGAGATGCTATAGGATCCTTCGGAACTAGACCCTCCAGGAAATCTCGAACTAAGATAAATCCAGGTTAACCCTTAATTAATATTTTGTTCATTCATATATTTAATCTTATGAATTGTTCTTGCCCTTACAATACTTTTTGCATTTTAATCCAGCTGAATGGTGGGAGATATATGGTAGTGATGCACCTCACTTAAAGAGGATAGCAATCAAGGTGCTCTCCCAGACATGTTCTGCTACTGGGTGTGAGCGAAACTGGAGTACGTTCCAATGGCTTCACACTACTAGGAGGAATCGACTCGCTTCATAGAGGCTTAATAAACTAGGCTACGTTCATTACAACTTAAACCTCCGAGAGCGACAAATAAGAAGGAAGCTTGAAGACTACAGGCCGATAGACTTGGACACAATATTTGCCACAGACACAGCGGAACAATGGGTAGTAGAGGAAGAGGAGCCAATGTTGCACAAGAGAGCGTTCCTTGAGGCTATCGGTGAGGAACATCTTGAAGAAGGTGATGAGCAGCATGAAAGAGGAAGCAACCTGCCAATATATCCACAATTTGTTGGAGATGTCGGTGATATTGCACCTAATGAGGGAGAGTATGAAGGGGGTCTAATGGAAAATGAGAGGGATGATGATTCTGAGGCCTCCCAATCCCAACCAAATTATTCACATATCGAGTCCCAACAACAAGAGGGTAGGGATGAGCACGACAATGAAGGTGAGCATGAAGGATGGACATGCTTCGAAGATTTTGGATTAAGAGCACAACAAAACACTAACACTTAAGGATTTGGGTATAGTCAGGTGTCCACTAATTTGGATGATTCGTTTTTAGAACGAGTCAATGAATTGTCACGTGAATTCAATCAATGGCACCAGCGTGACCAAGATGAAGAACGACGTCGTCTTTCATTTTATTTTTAGGTCGTATGTTACGAATTGTATGCTCTATTGTAGTCCATATATACTTAATCCATGATAATTCTATGCTTATCCTTTTGTGTGATGTGAATTAAATGGTAAACAGTAGTTCATGCAGGGAACGAACATATCAATATTCGCATATTCATGCAAAAAAATGAAAATTCTTAATGGAATACCTACATTTCTTATTGGATTCCTAAAAAACAACATTTATAATGAATTTTAATAATTTTTTCAGATTTTTTTAAAGCTTAATCCGACCGATTCCCGATCCGGATCGTTGATTCACCGATCCGAATGGGTTTTTGAGGTGCCCAATCCGGGTCACTGATCCGTTTTTTAAAACACTGTTTCAACTAATAACTTAAAGGTTAATTCCTATGTAGGGTTAAATAACAAGATGGACAAATAAATTATGTCACTTATCGGAAAAAGAAAAACTCAAAATGGCATTTATAGAGAGGAATAAGCACAATGTGCGATAAATGTGTATCACTCAACGTTGGACTAGGTCCCTAGTTATCTTTTGGCTGAATTTTTACTTGCTCATAAGACATTTTGGGGACTATGAACTTACCTTTGTTTATACCTATTTGTAACCATCTGAACCCATAAGCAAGTGCCTAAACTTTGCGATCACAACCTACCAAACATACATATATCATTGAAATCAAGACCTACAAAACAAGCATGTTCTATTAGTTGGTCTAGGAATCGGTGGGCCCACTAATCAGATTGGGGGCCGTGTAATGGTGATCAATGAACTAGCATTGAACTAGAGAATGTGCAGTGTGATGCCTAGATTGGTTGGTTTGATTGTCCAAGTTGATCGTCCCTATTATATAATTTGATAAAATAAAATGACCAAAATAATTTTGTATACCCAATTTTTTTTATGCACTGATTAAATTAATATACAAAAAAATAAAATTAATATACAAAATGCACTCTCAAAGGGTGACTTGAGCATAAAATATAAAATATAGAGTACTTTTCTTAATTCGATAAGGAAATGGGATTATAGTAAAAAGTTTTGGTGCCATTTTCATTCCTTGTTTCCATCAATTTTAGCCATTTTTGGGTGGTTCCTTTTGTCGTTTCCAATATTATTAGGGGTGTTTTGTTAATTAGTGATATTTAGGTTGGGATTTAGATGTGGAGAGAGAGAGAGGGAGAGGAGAGAGAGGGAGAGAGAGGTTTCTTGCAAGATAATGATTTTATGGCTATTGTTGTGGGTGCTTACCTATTTGGGGGATTTCATACATTTTTATATCGATATTTGGTTTTTTGTTTTCATTTATTTTTGTTTTATTTTTATTGTTTAATGCTTCTGTGGAACTGTGGAAGATGCTAAAATATAGAAACTGTTTCTTAATTAGGATTTTCTGCAATTTTTGGTGTCTTTGTTTTGATACAAAATTGTTTTTCTTATTAAGTTTTTGGTCGTTAATGCATCTATAGAACAATGTAAATTGCTCCATCGGTAGGATTTTAGTGTTCCTAATAATTGCTCCAGGCGTTTCAACATTGCTGACTGATGAGCCGCTTCTGATCGAGCAATCTGACTGATCTAGTGCTTCCATCTGTTCGATGTCTAGTCTGGTCCTGATAACATTGGCATATACCTAGTTGTACTTCAAAAGCATGGTCTATCTAATGTTTATTTCATTATTTACTATTTAGTGATTGCTTCACCTAAGAATTGATGCATTAATGTGATTTAATTTAAGAATGTGCTTTACTGGACATATTATTGTTTCATTATTTGGTCAGTCAATTATGCAATCATTTGAACTCTGTATGTGTGTTATCTGTAATTCTTTGTTGTATAATTTGAAACGAATTATGTTATTTACTTTATCTGGTAAACAGGTGCGCAATGTCATGATAGAGAATATTGATAAAGTTCTGGAAAGAGGAGATCGTTTAGAGTTACTGGTTGATAAGACTACCAATATGCAAGGGAACACAATTCGCTTCAGAAAGCAAGCTCGTCGTTTCAAGAACACTGTTTGGTGGAGAAATGTCAAGCTCACGTATGAGAATAACTCAACTCATTTCATTTTCATTTATGCTTTGCTATGGACATCAAATAATGTTTTTTATTTTTTGCTTTTTTATGTTTCTTGCTTTGTTTACTTGTGCTTTTTCTCCTTTTTTTATGGTAAAGAAAGCATATTGCTTTTCCGATTCAGGAGTTGTGGAACATGCAAAGAATTTACGATACTGGCTTTCCAACAAGACTGTACATGTCTGAAGTTAATGTGTGCCATTATAAATGTCATGGGATAGATGTCCAAACCATGTATGCTGACTGTAGCAAAGGACAGAAACAACAGCAGCATTGCTTCTTAGTATTCTCATGCTGTCGTCCTCGTAGGTGGCTAATAGGAGTTCCAAAGAATCAAGGAATAGATCTCGGGTTCTTTGATAAGTTGGTTAGATTTGGAGGAATATCCTAGAATCTAAAGGCTTTAAAATTACCCTAAGACTGAATATATGGAATGCAATTTCAGTAATATTATGAGTGAAAATGAGGAATTAGTTAAGATTAATGGCCAAGAAGTACCTAAAAGAGATTATTTTTAATATCTTGGGTCGATAATTCATGAGAATGGAGAGATTGTGAAGATGTGGCGCACAGAATTAGAGCTGGGTGGATGAAATAGAAATGTGCTTATGGAGTCCTATGCGATCGCTGCATGTACCAATGAAATTGAAAGGGAAGTAAGATTCATGCTTTATAGGACGAAATGTTGAGCAGTCAAGAAACAATATATCCACATAATGAGTATACTTGAGATGAAGACATTGAGATCAATGAGTGGCAAGACAAGAAAGGATAGAATTCAGAATAAAGACATCCGAGCGAACTTAAGGGTAGCTCCATGGGCGATAAGATGAGGGGAAGTAAATGTAGGTAGTCTAACCATTTGCAGCATACACCTAGAACAACATGGGTTTGGAGGGGTGGTTTGGTTCCAGCAGAAGGCCCTAAAAGGGCATGGGGAAGGCCCATAAGGACATGGATGGCTGTAGTAGAAAGAGATAGTGTGACTCATAGTCTGACTGAAAGTACATGATTTGTGTAGCCAACCCCAAATAGTTGGGATAAGGCTTGGATGATGATGATGATTTGGAAGTAAAATATAATATATTGTACTAGCTCTTCTATTAAGCTTCCAAACTAATGAACTTTTTTCTACCGATGATCCCGCGCTCTCAACACCCTCTTCTAACAATTATGAAGAAAACATGTCAACTGATATTCATTTGAAAACAAGGTCAGCAAACAACTTGTACAACCAAAATCTATAGCAGGATTGGATGCTTGTTCTGTTTGGTTCTGGTCCTTATAACATCAGTGTTATCCTCAAATTTCTACTCTCTGTAGTGCGCTAGCAATGCCGAGGCCAACTATGACAACATCTTAAACGTGTATTAAAAAACAGGCTGCCTTGCCACCTGAGCAGCCCCTTAAAGGCCCAAAGCCTAGGCACCTTCTCCAATGGGATGTGGCCTATTATAGGCTGGCTTGCCCTAATCGGGTGCTGGCCTAGTGCCGCCTTTTCACAAGTGCTTTTCCCCCAAGCTTCTTATCCGTGGGCTTCCTGTCCTTGCGTACTTTCCAACTTTCTTCTTCTCTATGGCCTTATCAGAGGGTAGCTTCTTTTTGGCTTTGGGCACCAAGGATGATGAACGACTAGAGAGAGAGTGTGGGAGTTCCAACTATAGGAGCAGGGGCAAGGGATTGTTTGGTAGGAATAAGGTTCCTAGTTTGAGAGCATTAAATATATAAAAAAGCTGAAAATATAGAAAATAAAGCATACATAGTCTTTATAAATTAGATATACAATAAACATACTAGAAATATATTTATTTGACTTACAATTATGTTTATCAAGTAAATGTTAAGACAAATATTAATGTACTTAAGTCCTATCATATAAAGTCCTGCATAATATTATACAAAGTTGTTTATTTGATCAAATATATTGTAAATTTTAATAAAATATATCTTTAGATTTCAAATGTAAAAGGTTTTGCTCTTTCTTCCCCTACCCCTACCCCTTCATTATAAATTAAACGAGAAACTAAAGCATGGATAGGAGGAGGATAAAGAGAGATAAGAGATGAGTTGTCCTTTTTTTTTTTTTAAAACCCACTTTCTTGATCAGGAGACTGTTGCCAAGGTAGCACCTTCCATGTAATAATGCACTGATCAGGTATATAGATGTGAGCTGGAGTCTTTGTTCTTTCCTTTAACCAATAAATATCTTCTAGCATTGTACAAACCTCACATTTTTTTCATGTCTAGAAAATCTCGTTTCTTGATCTTTTGTGATCATGTTTAATTTGTGGAGTTTAATTGGTAAAACAGATGCCCCTTTTTATCATAAGGAAAACATTTCATATATATACGACTTACGGGGTATGGAATGGGTACTCAAGACCCAACATACACCATCCATGTCTATCCAAGGACGATGCGTGATGAGTTGTTGGCCACTTATATATCTGCACAATTCTCGTGGCAGAAACCATTATTCAATGGATGTGGGTTCAGGGTGCAAGTGTACAAGAATACTATATACCTGTACAATGTATATTATCTGGTCCCTTTATGACATGCCTACTTTGTATTTTGTTTGCAATTACCTGCATGTAATCATATTAGGGAGTTTTTGATTATTATTCCTTGGTATTTTGTATTCATGAATTTAACTTCACAGACTAAAATATTTTCCTACTCAAGTAACCTGAAAATTTCTTCTCGTTGAATCTTGTAACTCAGGAGTTCTGAATTTCGATGCATCTGCTCCCTCCTATTGAATAGGAATTTGATACCCAAATTTTTATGGATACAAAAGAAAATTCCAATGTTTTCTTATTATTATATGAATGGTATGAGTACGACTGCCCATCAACGAATCAAGTACTTTTAAGATCGTGAAGACCTTATCACATTGAACTTGTTTTGCATCCATCAGAACTTGTTATTCATAAATGTTAAAGTTTAAAAATCTAAATTGTTCCCCTTTTGAGTTTTGAAATATTTATTGTTGAGACACAGTTGACCAGCCCATTGCCCTGTACTAAGCCCTAGCATTTATCTTCCTCTTGCAACCCAATCCATTACAAAATTGCAAACGCTACTTCCCCTTACCAGAAACCCCCCAACACAGCCCAAGGATCTTGACTATATGTTGGACATATAAAAATGATGGAAAATCTTCTTCAGCCTTCTAATGCTGAAGTAGTGCAATTTTGCTTTAAATGACTCTTGTCATAGTGGTGACTTACAAAGCATTGTGCCTGATTGCCTGCTATTGTGGAGGAATACTGCGTACAAAAGGGAAAATAGCAGATAATGTAGAATTTGGTATGGTGGCAAGATGGATGTTACCAGTCTCCCTTGGAAGTCACTTTGAGATCAACTGTCCTGAGGATCTGCAGAGTAGGATATAAATGTCAGTTTGATGAAAGAACTTTTTTTGTTAGCTAAGACGGACATAAAGAACCAGCTGGTCAGTGGTATAGTTAATCATCACCTTCTCAGATGTTGTTTACATGATGTTCAATGTTGTTGATTATAAAAAGAGGTTTTTGTGATAGAAATATTTATTAACTAAAATTGAGGTATAACATTATTTATTATTAAGATATAAAACTAAATGGTGGCAAGAAGTTGTTTTTCTAAAATGAAACGAAAAGTGTTTTCGGTCATACACGCACAAGCATCCTTGTTAAATAAAAAGTACACAGTAATGTCCTTGGCTAGAACGCGAAAGGTACTGAGTCTCAGTGGATGGTTTAACAATTGGAAAGTAATACTCAAAACAAAAATCAGAAGAAAACATGGATCTAAAAATTTGGAATTCTCCAACTAGTGGGGTAGTCAAGTTGAATTTTGGTGGCTGTTCCATGGGGGGGGGGGGGTTATGTCTATGTTCTGCAAGGGACAATTTTGGGAAATCTTAAGGAGGTACTCCTGCACACTTCAGATAGGTGAAGCTAATGAAGCTGAGGCATGGTCGTTACTCATTGATCTCTGAATATCAAGACCTCACATGGACTAACATTATAATTTGGGTTGGCTCTAACAAATTATTCAATTGGGCTGGTGAAGAGGTCTCCTGCCCTTGGAGTCCGAACAATTTTTTTGAGGAAATCTGGGAATTCATAAAGCCAAATCATCGTATCATTAGAGCACAAATAGAGGCAAATAAAGAGGCTGAACTGGCTAGGGAAGGAATCTAAATCTTGATTGTTACTTTCTTTTGAGTCATATTGCTGTAATGTATGGAGTCTACGGTAAGTACACTCGTACCTGGAACTGTACTTGTACATCACTTTTGCAAATTAATGAAGAAATAGTTAACCTTAAAAAAAAAGAAAAATTCTTGTGCTACTGACTTGTATAGCATAGTTCTAGAAAGTAGTTAATACCCATCACGGATTTTATCTCTTGGGACCATGCTCTCAGCATGATGGCCAAGAAAAACCTAACATATGTATTAAGCATTAAAAAGGCCATCATTGGATACAATGCTAATTTTATTGCATTGTGTTGCTCTCTCTAGAACTATAGCCTGAAGAAGTCCGTATGGAAAAGAATTTTTTTCCTTCTTTTTTTTCTTAACTAATTGTAGATCGAGATTTGTGATCGCCATTTTCTCTCAAAGCCAAAGTTTATTATTTGGTAACAAGCAAAAACTTCCTTGTGTTTATAGCTGTATATTTTGAAGGGGATTCTGATGAGGGCTGTTTGTGTATGCCGCAGGGTTGCATTAATTGCCCTCCTATTGATTGTCATCTATGTGGTGCTCGTATTTGTCTGTCATGGGTTTACTCTACCATCCTGCCGGAAGTGAGCGGTTTGATGTATGTTGTCTTGTATTTTATTTATTTGAATTTTCTGCAAATTATTTTACGGGTGTTTCGTGGCCTGATATTACATTTTTTTGACATTTTCTTGGTCGTGCTCCAATCATATCTATTGCTTGTGTGAAGGGTGTGAACGGTTGTAAAGATTATGTTTTGACTCTATTTCTCTGCCTGATTCATAAGCAGGCTCTGCAAGCCTCTGAAGATGAGGTAGAACACTAAAAGTAAGTTGAAGTTTGAGAAGAAGTTATCTATGATTATTATTTTTTTTGTTTTTAAAAAGGCAAACAATCAAGCAGCAAGGAACTTTCTCTCTTGATCGTGTCTCTTAGAATTTCGATTGATTAATGTAGAAGAAAAGGTTCTTAGTGCCAGGGCAAGCAGTTGCCATGTAGTAGTACTTCTGCTTGGCTATCATTTGTGATGCTATCGCAATTGGGGCCTGTGGTTAATTGAGTCGTGCTTGTAGAATTCAGTGATTACCTATACAATTGTGCATCTCAGTGTTTTAAAATCCGGCGATTTTCGATCCTAATTGCTGATCTGGATGGGAATTAGTTTGGACCGGATTGGTTCCTGGATAGTATGGATCCGGGCATGGTTTCCCCCTATCCTCCCTCCTCCCCCCCTTCGTTTGTGTACATATTTTTCTATGTAATGTTTTCTTAGGTCTCTCAAAATTCTTACCTAACAAACCCCTGTATTAATTTTTGTTTCGTTTATTTTCTTTTGTTTTTTTAAGATCACCAAGTTGGACCGGTTTACATCCAATCCAGATCACCAATCTAGTGATCCGACACAGATTTGTAGGTGAACAATCCGGCCCAGCAATTCAGGTTTTGAAACACTTGATTGTGTCTCACTCCTTTAAATACTATAGCTTCTAATTCAATAAAGGAAAAATAACATTTAAGGGATCAAAATCTTTGCAAAGCATTAAAGGGGTTAAAAGATCTCAATTACAATTAGAGCTGTTATCTTCTCAAAAAAAAAAAAGAACAAAAAACGACGCTAGTGTACTACGGTACCTCAAAAATATCTCCAAAAATGCTAGATTGCATTTGTTCCCGGTTGAGAACTTTGAACAAATAGGTTATTTTAATGAGGGTGCGGTTTCTATAAGGTTGCAATTTTAAACAATCTAATTAAGGTCCACCTCCAAACTTTATAATAATAACATGTATTTTTTGTGTTAAAAAATTGTAAGATTGTCTGAAAATCTATTTTCATATATAATTATAAAAGTTTAAACTCCAAGAATGGTTAAAATCAAGTAGATCTGTAAATATATGAAAATCTGAAAAATAGACGGTTTAGATAATGTGTTGCAAGATTCATTATTTTTGAGACTTCAAATCTTTTTTTTTTTTTCATATTCATACATCTCGATGTTGAGATGATCAATTAGAGGGTTTTTCAATATTAAAACAATATATTTCGATGAATTTTTGAGGTGCATCAGTAGTTCTACATTTTAAGGTTGCAAACTTATATAAACTTTTCCCTTTTAATAATTTGAGCCACACTAAACAGGTGGGGATGGTCATGTTATTTGGTTGGGGCTTAATAAGTGGGTCAATTATTGAAATGGCCCCATGAACCTCAATTTGGATATTTTTAATATTTATTTCTTTCGTTCTTTTTTACATGGTAAAATGGACAATTAAAAAATGAACCGTCAACAGCGATAAATGTTTTGATCCCTTAATAATTGGAAAAAGTTTATATAAAAGCCGTGGCTCTAAACAATCAAATTAGAGGCCACCTCAAAAATTTCTCTTGAGGAGATTGTTTTGATGCTCCAATATCCTCAAATTGATCATCTTGATATCAAGATGCATGGATATGAAAAAAAATGGATTTCAAGTTTTGAAAATAGTACATCTTGTAATGTATTTTTAGACCGTCAATTTTTTAAATTTTCAAGTTTTCATAGATTTGCTCAATTTATACTTTGTTTGAAGTTTTATTTATAATCAAAGATAAAAATACATTTTAAGACGATCACAAAAATTTCTAATATTGAAACCACATTTCTCAACACTATTTAAAGATTCGGTTTACTTTGATTATTTAGAGCCTCGGCTCTATACAAACTGCACCCATGAAATCAGTTGATTATGATTTTTTTTTTTGTTGGGACAGCAGAAATTCCCAAGTCCTTACCGATTCGCACATGAGACCCTTTTTGGGGCTTTTGGGATAAAAAAAGTTGTAAATGGCGTTAAATTAGTTTTTGCTTAAAAAAATTTTGCCACATTCATTCGATGCAAAAGCTTGGTTTCCTGGTTCTTCAAGGCGTCTTGATTTCAATCACCACTATAGGGCTTGGGACAAAAAATCAGCTCAAAATAGTGAAAATATCAGTGTCTGATTGTTTTTTCACCATTTCCAATTGATTTTTCACGATCTGTGCATTCTTCATTATCAAACATTGTTTCATCTCCATTCTTAAGCTCATGATTCACTTAAAAATTGCAAAAAAAATTGGCTAGCGAATAAGGTCCAGAGAGAAAATGGAGATGAGATGGTCTCATTCTTTTTTTTCTTTTTCCCTTTACACCATTTTGGGCCACCTCACCGGTGGCAACTTGGGAAACGGGTGATCAAAGTGGGCCCCAAATTCCTTATTTTGAAATATTGATTACTACCGCATGAATCATCGCATGCTTCCCGCTGGGTCATCTCTCTCGACTTCTTTCTCTCTCCCTACTTTCTCCATCTTCCCCGTAATCCCCTTCTTAAATGTAAAGAATTTGTTAATAGAAAGGAGGCCTTAAGGGAGGGTTTATCAAGAGGAAGAGCGGGAGCAGGTATAGATTGATTGAAGTACTCATAAAAGAATTTGGAAATTTAGTGGAAAGATAGCTCCTACCTTTTTTTTCAAATGGTTTAGTCCCGATTTGGATGTATCCAAAATCCAAAAATATTGTAAAACGGATGTTAAACCGGTTCGACAACCATAGTATTTTAGTTTTTTCCGATAAAAGTGCGACTTTCTCTCACCTGTGCAAACTCCACACCGTGACCCAACAACCCGATTCTCTCCCTCTCTCTAAACCCTCTTAAACCAACTCTCTCTCTCTCTCTCTCTCTAAAGATCAACATCCAAAAGGCAATAACTGAGCTTTCGTGTCACTTGGTGGTCCTCTCGCCCTTGCAGACCTCTTGCTGCAACAAAGAGCCCCTTTATGGAGCCGTATCCACTGCAACATTCTTGTCCTTGAGCTCCTTAATGTGAATGGGAATCACGATTGAACGGGAAAATTAAACGGGAAAGAGAGAGAACGAGGATTTTTTTGGAGAGTAAATCAAATTAGAGAGAAAATGGATGGTAGAGAGAGAAAATCGCCTGGTTCCTTCGCCCACTTTAATTCTAGAGATAGAATTGTAGTAGAGAGAGAAAGGGAGAAGTTTGGGAAGAGGAAGGAGATTAGACAAGAGATTGCAGTAAATGAGAGAATCGCATAGAGAAAAAAGACTTCTAACACCCAAGCGATTTTATAAGAACAAAAAAAAAGGTTTTGTATTTTTTTTTAATTGGTATTTAAAAAACTTACAAATTTTTTTGAATAGCAAATTCCTTTTATTTGAGCCCTTAGGAATTAGTTGTTTTAAGGTTTCAGTAGGATGGAGCCAATGGGGGAATAGACACTACAACGGTATTAGGGTGCCACGGTATAGGGCTGAGAATTTGGATCCAAGGTTTAGATCCGAAATTTGGATCCTGGTCCAAAATTTAAATATGAAATAGGATCAAGTATAGGTGCATCCAATCCAGATCAGACCTAGTTTTTTTAAATAATAAATATTATTTTTTATATATTATAATTTATATATTGATTAATTTATATACATAATAAATATAATTATCTGAACTTTTATACATGGAGGTGGAGGTCTAAAAAAAGATCATATATCTTTTGTACATGGATGTCACAATTATTTCCACTCATTAGCTGGCAAATTGGATAGCTTACGGGGATATATGAAGTTCGAGAATTTGTTTTTGAAACAATGTCGATTCTATGACACTTTTATAACCACCCATTTTAAAATTTAAGGGATAAAAATGATGATGACCTCCATGTACAAAAAATAAATAGTCCCCTTAGTAGACAATCCCATTTTATAATATACAAATTGGAATTCATGAGGATGGCAATTCGGAACCGGATGCTATATATAGTTTTTGAATCTGAATCCATATTTGTGTGGATCCGAACCCTATCTAAAAAATTTCAGCCATACCAAAGTGCGACCACCACGTCCTCAACCCCTTTCCTCGAATTTGTAGGGTGTCTCATTGTTGCCTTTGTCGAGGAGAAAGTAAACTTTTGCATTTTTAGATTTTAAGGAAGAGAAAATGGGTTTGAAGGGATCCTACAGGAAATAAATAATTTCCTTCTCTATCTAAACTCTCACCATGAAGCCTTTTGCACCTTCTCTTCTTCTTTCCTTCCCTCCCTCGTTGGTCATTCCATTTGCATGTATCCTTTTCTTCCCCATATTTTCTAATGCTTTCTTTTAGCTTCCTCTTGTCTTATTGCCTCTACTATTTTTTTTTTTCCTGTCTCTATCTTTGCTTCTGAGGTGGGTGGGTATTTCTTTCTTCTTCTTCCTGTTCCTGGGGTGGGTGGGGTTTTCTTTTGTGGCTTCATGGGGAGATTTGGTCTCTCTGGTGCTTCTTCTTCTCGTCCTTCGAAAAAGAAACATAACTTTCACCATGGTTATCCCTTTGGCTTTCAGGGGCAGGCTTATTCCAATGGTTGCCCTTCTTAGGGTCCCCGGTGACCCTCCCCGCTTGATGGTTCTAATGGAGTTATTAGAAGAGATGTTGTGAAAGCCAATGCTATTTTTAAGGTGGAGAGTTGTCAGTCCTTTGCTTATGTTGTTGGGGATCCAGTTCCTTCTGGGCCAAAGGCACCTATCGAGCCTGTGCGGATTGTTGAGGTCGCTAATTCATGTTTGGAGCCCCGGAAGGAAATGCTTCAAAAGGTTGTAGTGTGCTCTTTCTCTCCTCCTTTAGCTGATCTTGGCTCATTCTGTGCATGGGTTACTAAGACGTGGAAGTGGCCGGTTTCATGCAAACGCATCCCTGGAGATAGAATGCTTGTTGTCATTGATGCTGTTGCAGATGCTGGAAGGATCATTCAACGATGCTTCTGAAGGTTTCAGAGAGTGACTCTTACCACCCTGTGGTGGACTCCTATGCTGAATCACTCCTACATTCATATGCATTTTGTTTGGGTTTTGGTCAAAGGTATTCCTATGCTTGGACTAAGGAGGTTTTCTCTTTAGTGGTTAGTTATTCTGGTTTTCTTGTTGAGTTTGATTGGAATACCTCAGCTGGTCCTACTTTAGGTGTTTTGTGATTTAATGTTAAGTTACCACCAGGGAGGTCGGTGCCGTCTTTGTTAAATTTAAAGGTGGCGTTGATTTTTTAGCCTATCCTTTCGATTGAACAAGCTACGTCCAATTCTGTGGCCTTGTCCTCCTCTTCCTCACCTAAGGTGGG